CATAAATAAATATAAAAATATATATATTTAAACAAAAGCGAAAATATTTTTCTTTATTTATTATTTAACTACATTAACAACAAGCCATTAAATACAACTGCAGTTAAAATTTAGCGTTAAACCCGCTAAACGCTGCGCATCTTCAATTGGTTAGCAGCATGTTAAGTGTACGTTGAGCTGTTAACATAGCCATGTTAAGCGTTTGGTAAGCTTAACAGCACCTGTTACACGTACATTTGACGGCGTGTGAAGCTAAATTGCAATATGCATGCAAATAAAATATTTAAAAAATAGATTTTATATTGAAAAAAAAAAAAAATGGAAGTAAAGAGCAAGAAACAAATTCATATATTATCTCGCTCTCGGTTTGACCACTGCGGGAGTTGTTTTTCGCCGACTGACCTTCTGCTCAAAGTTTGGGGCCACACGTGCTCTTTATTATATTTTGGGCAAAACGCAAACATTGTCTATGGCAGCGTTGATACGTATGTATATGACTAATGTTAGTCCAAACACAGACTCTAGCACAAATTACATACACGTGCACCGGCACAGTCAGAGGCAGAAGCATTGGCAGACGCACGCGCACGTACAATGTAAATAGCTACGCACACACCGAACATATAGAAGGGCAACCTGTTGACATCGGCAGGTGGCCTGTTTTTACGATACCCTTATTAAGGATATTTCTGTTACATAGGTGCATATTGGCCTTAAAGCCTATAACAAATATAGGTTATTGTTGGGTGACATAAGTTTGTTCGATTTCAAATATAATAATTTAATAAAATTACAAAAATAAAATAAAATAAAAATCTATATAAACATTAAATTGTCTTCTCTCAACATAAGTTTAACTGCCTTATAGGGCATTCATTTTTCGACGTGTCGTACATGTCTTCTATATCATTTAATTTTTTTTCTTCTTTTTTTGCGCTTGGCCATTCACTGGGCACTTGGGCTACTGCATAGGATATGTGTGTGTTTAATACTTAAGTATATGTACATATTTGTATCTTGTATCTTACTGTTAGAGCAGGAGAGACCCGACCTTAATTATGTATAATAGATAACTTAAAGCATCAACAAGAAGCAAGCAAGAAGTGCCTGAAGCTGAAGCAAAAGACTTAATTCAAGTATAGTAATCAAAATAAGCCAAAAAAATATATATAAATATAAG